CTCAAAACCATGAATTTGGGGAAAAGTATAAAGCCACATTCTTATAACTTAAAGGCTATTCCACATCACATAGATGTTACTTCTCTAAATAATGTGGAATCGTTTTTGAAGCTCATTTACAACAATGAATTTGATGTAGTTTGAGAAGATGGGGTAGGTTGGTGAGGAGTGGGTATTAGTAACAGTTTAGAATCACTGTTGGATGGCAAAAATAAAGCACTACAAAAAGTGGTGGTGCAATTGTGGGTTCACAGCTTAGAGACTGAAGAGGCTATTTAGATATGGGTGGAGAACTAAAACGGAGGTATTGCATGGAATAGATGCGAAAATAAATCATAATAGAATGAGGTCAGGAGTTAAATGCAAATGAAAGAGGGAAAGAATTATGGAGTTCATCACTTCTGGAAAGATTTTGTATAAGTCTCTTCATATACAGTTTACCTAAGAGATTCTCTAATTCTCTAAGTACAAAAATTTCCTTCCTCCTCCCACCAGTCATAATGTAAAAAGTTAGAGATATCTCAAAGTCTTCTCAGAACTCTAAATGCTTCATAATAATGAGAAAAACCATATGCTGAGGGAGAAATATTAATAGAAAATGCTGTCTTTCAGATGCTCACTGAATCAATTGAAGACAGTTGACACATCTTTAGTAAGCTGTGTATGAATCTTAGCTCATTAACCACTCCTGTATTATGTGTGTTGATTCCAATTCCTAATATGACACATCAATAAACCAGATCTGAAAAGGTGTCATTTCGATTTTAATGTATCCAATTGTATTTTTAGATGTTCCTCCACTTAGAAGTGTTTGTGTTATTTCCTGATATTACAAGCTATGGAAGAGTGGGTGTGGTATTGATTTGCATGAAAAAATACTGCTTTACTATAACCTTTTCAGATTTTGTTCTGATTATGTTGTAAGAAAAATAAATTGTTCCTCCTTAATATTTCAGCTTTCTCTAAGCCATGGTATGGTTCCCCATTTAGAACTTAAGTATAACTTGACCACAAATATGGATGCACCAACATCCAGTTGTCTGATTCCTCAAGGATGTGTGGAAGTAGAAAAAGAGAGAAAAATATTTCTATAAAATATTCTTCATGTAGAATGTTTCTTATAGGCAGACTTGGAAATCAACATGTAATTTTCACAGGGATACATCTACATAACTAACCTGTCACCAATCAGACCATCAGTTTCTCAGCCTATCACACAGTATTTAGGTTGTTGTGTCATGTTGGGCTACCATAGCAATTGTATTTTCACCAGTCGGCACCAACTCAGCTCAAGAATTAGCAACTACATTTTGAATGTCTTTGCAACCAGATAGTATGCTAACTGCTGGAATTATAAGGTGAACCAGACCCAGTGAAGTGGGCCTCAAAAAAGGTGACAGCGGTGCAGGGGAAAGTGAAATTAGAGTACTTTGTTTTACTTGTAATTGTGCTTGGTACATTACATACTATCTTGTTTAATCAACACAACTACCATTTTAGATCTTATTCAAAGAGAGTAAGAAACTTGTCTAAGACCACACAGCTAAACAAAAGCCATTACAGAATTCAAACCAAGGTCCAAGTATTCCGATTCATGTTCACAACTTTCATTAGTTCACTCACTAATTCTTCATTCATTTAACCCACCACACACCTGTATAAAAATTGCCTAGCTTTAAAAATTCCCTATTTAATAGGGGAATTTGACAAGTACCTGAGCAGTAGAAATACCATGCAAAGTGTTTTGTAAATAGAATATTCTAAATGCAACAGAACACAGGAGAGGGAGAGCTGACTCTAAGAAAGCTCATAATTCTTTTAAGTATTGGCTTAACAGACTTGATGATGTCTTAATTCCTGCCCAAACACCATGGAAGTGTCCTTGCAAATCAACTCTTTCCCATGAAGCAATGGCCAATCTCTTCTAACCCCACCCTGACTGGATCATCTGTTCCCTATGAGTAAAGTTTGCTGGTTAGAGCCAACAAGACTACTCCCCTCTTCTTGCCTGTCAAGCTGAATTTGTAGATGTTACTTCTGTAGCCCTCAATGTCAACTGGTCCTTTTCTTGGAGAGTCTGACATTAACCTGATTATTACTATAGTCAGAGATTTCAGTGAAATTAGAAAGGTGTCTTCTCCCTCTCTCCCCTCATCCCCTTCCAGTATCATATTGATTGCTTGCACCTAGTAGTTCAACAGATCCTCAGGTAAACTGCACTACTGGCATCATACCAAACTGTACGGAATGCATACACCTCTTGAATATATGTGTGTGTATATATGTAGTGTGTGTATACATGTGTGTATGTGTGTGTGTGTGTGTGTATACAATTATTGTTGTATGGAATTAGCTTCAAATAGATACAAGGCATTCAAGCATCCCTAATAGCTCTGACCTGGGCACACTATACCAATTTCACTCTCATCTTTATTAACTTGTTGTACATTTTTTCTGGTTTATGATATTTCATAGGCTCCAAGTGGTCTTGTGAAGCATCACATTTTCTGACCATCATTAAACTCCAAGAGAGCTTTTTACTATTTGGCAGAAAAGATGAGGTCTGCTGTAGGCTATGATGTTGTAACTTTCTTTTATTTCTCTTTCTCGTTCCCCTTTGTCTCTTTCATTTGCAGTTGTCCAAGCCATATTATGTTGGAACTCTTCTAAGAATAACTGCAATTTTGAAAGCTTTGACTGTGGGAGGCATTATTTATAGGCCTTTGTGGTTTTAGGAGGAAAAACCAAGCAGAGTTCCACTAGGAAGACTGCCCCCATCCCACTTTAGCCAAATACCATCTTCTGCAGGATATTTTCCTGTAATTCCTTATTAAAAAATTTCTTTTGCGACAACATATTAAAGAAGCTGCCAGTGTCTAAACTAACTCTTTCTTATTCGACTGTCATAAAGTTTATATACCTATTGAATTAGACTTTTGTAAGTTCATCGTATTACTAAGAACTGTGTTTGGCCTTAATATCAGAGATCCATCCTCAAGGGCGTCAGTACACAAGGGCTTCTTTTCTTATGCCAAAGAAACCCAGAGGGCCAAACATAGTGGCTTATGCCTATAATTCCAGCACTTAGGGAAGCCAAGGCAGAATGATTGCTTGAGCCCAGGAGTTCAAGACCTGCCTGGGCAACATAGTGAGACCCTTTTTCTATACAAAATAAAATTAGCTCGGCACGGTGGCATGCACCCATAGTCCAAGCTACTCGGGAGGCTGAAGCAGAAGGATAGCTTGAGCCCAGGAGTTGAGACTACAGTGAGCCGTGTTCACACCACTGCACTCCAGCCTACATAATCCCATCTCAAAAAATACAAAAGAAACCCAGAGGCAGGAAGTACAGGTCTGGTTTGACTGCTCGACAGATTTAAGAAAGCTCTTTCTACCTGTGTATTCTGCTCCACAGAGCTTCAGTTCTCCAGATTAGATCACAGTACAGCCCCTCTGTCTATATTCAAAGAAGCAGAAAGGAGAAAAGATACAAAGGCTAAAAGCTAAATCAGCTCATACACGCCCTCCCAGAAGGCCTGACCAACACTGTGATTTCAGTCTCACTGGCCAGACTTGGTCTCATGGTGACTCTAGCTCCAGGCCAGCTGCGTTTATTACCATCCTCTCAACAGTGGGGTTGTCTTGCTAAGGAAGAAGACAATGGTTACTGGGTGGATGTTTGCTTTACATATTGTTCTTTTTTATATCTTATTTTCCAGCTGCAGCCTGTTTAGAATCATCAGGAGCTCTATGCTAGAAGTTATAGAAAGGAAAGATACCTAAAGTATAGAAAGGGAAGTGTATGAGGTGTCTGAGTTTAATAAATAATTACACTTCTAGATGGGAAGGCCCTGGTTAAAACTATGGAAAGATGAATTCCCTTGTGTACTAAGTAAATCAATTTTTACTTTGCCATCCATAAACAAAATGAGAGAAAGCAATCTATGTGGTATACAGTTTTGAACAACTTCCTATTTTACAAAATGTGTATGACCAGGCAATAAGCTATTTCAATTTTTTTTTATTTTTTTATACTCTCTTAAAGGAAAAACAAAATGTGTAAGGAAAAAGGGATAACATGGAAATATTTTTTTTTAATTTTGCCCTTTTACAAAATCAAGCAGTGATAGAATATTTGTAATCAAATTACGCTATAAGTTGTTGTTTAGTTTCCCATTGCTGCTGTAACACTAACACAAGCTTAAAACACAAACTTATTCTCTTACAGTCCTGGAGGGTGGAAGTCTGAAATCAGTTTCACTGAGCCAAAAGCAAGAGATTGGTAGGCCTGCGGTACCCCTAGTGGCTCTGCCTCCTTGCCTTTCCCAGCTTTTGGAGACTGTCGCAATTCCTCAGATAGCCACCCCTCATGCTGTTCCCATTGTCACGTGGGAAGTCACATCACCTTTTCTCTCTGACTCTCATCCTCCTATTTCTCCCTAATAAGGACCTTTGTGATTCTACTGGGCCCATTCAGATAATCCAGAAAAATCTCCCTGCCTCAAAATCTCTAACTTATCATATCTGCAAAGTCCCTTTTGCCATGTGATATAACAGTCACACATTCCACGGGTTCAGACATGGACATCTCTGGAAGGCCCTTATTTGCCCTACCACACCTTGTAAAACAGGGCATTTAAGAAAACCAAATGTTAAGATAAGGAAGGCAATGTCAAAGTCACATTGTTGTCTTCATGTTAAGATTATCTCACAGTACAGCCATTCCATCTACAATCAAAGCAGAAAGGACAAATGTGCAAATGCTAAAAGCTTCATCAGCTTGTACATGGCCTCCCAAAAGGCCTGCCACAGTCAAATTCAGAGTCAAAAAGAAACTCCTCAATAACCAGGTTGAGTCCACCTCTTCCCTTCGGCTACTGACTAGGACTCTTAGTTGCTAGTCTTAGTCCAAAATTTGCCCAAGAAAATTTTCTCATGTATCTGTACCGATGAAATCTTTTTTTTTCCCCCCTAACCTTCCTTCTTAATTTCTTTTTCAGAAAAGCAAGACAACAACACAAGAATTGAAGCTGTAAAGTCTCTTGTACAAAAACTCCCTCCACCAAATCGTGACACCATGAAAGTGCTCTTTGGACATCTAACTAAGTAAGTTGTACAGGTTTCTGGATATATCACTTTATAGTCATTTCCTAAATGGGCAATATTTAATTTCAGATCTCTAAGGCAAGAGTTTCCAAATGAGTCCATCTCATATTTTCCCTTGTAACTGACCTAGGTCTTTCTGCAGAAGCTGGAGAATGTGCTAGGGATGGGAAGGAGAATCTACAAAAGGAATTTCTGAAATAGCTTATTTTTCAAGGCCTTTTCAACAAGTATATGTTTGCTGATTGATTGTCAGAACCATCACCTGGACCCTGGAATGGGTCACTTGACTTTGTTTTCTAACGTAATAGAAAGAACATGAAATGATTCAGACATGGATTCAAAACTCAGCCCCAACAAGTACCAAGTGCTGTGGCCACAAACAAGTTATTTAAACTCTCTGCATCCAATTTCCTCATCTGTAAAATGTTGGCTTAGATTGATAAGGTGCTATCTGTGTAAATAGCTAAGAGAGGAGTCTTCCAGGAAGAAGAAAGGCAAATGTAAAGCCCTAGAGGCCTCTAAGAGCTTGAAGTATTTGAAAAGCAGAAATTAAACCCGAACTGCTAGGGCCTACTGTGGAGGCAGGATGGGGTCAGGAGCTGAAGTCCCAAACATCACACAAGCATCAGATCACATAGGTTCTATGGTTCACAGTGAGATATTTAGATTCCATTCTAAATACGAGGAAGAACCACTGAACAATGCTACACTGATGGAGTGTAAAAGATTGCTCTGGCTGCTGAGCAGAGAATGCTTCCAAATGTGAAGACAGGAAGGCCTAATGGCAGACAACCACGGTAGTCCAGGTAAAAGATATCGGTGGCTTGAGCGGAGCCCTCAGAGAGAAATGGATAGAGATATTGTGGAGATGGATCAGGCTGGACTTGCTGATTGGGACACCATGGGGAAAGGAAAGGAGAGATCAAGTATGTAACTTTGGGTTTCAACTTGGGCAAGTGAAGAAACCATAGTGCTGCAGAAATGGGTAAAACTGGGGGAGGAACAAGTTGAGTAGGAAAAGCAGGTTTGAGAGTTCTATTTTGGACATGTTAAGTCTAAAATGACTGTTACTCATTTGCCTTCTGTTAACACCTTCTTCAGACAAGGCAGAGTGCAACAAAGTGATGAGGTTTTAGTTTTCATGATATATGCATAGTAATATTGAAGCCTGATAGAGTTTCAAATAGATTGAGCAGTTTTGCTTTTGTGAGATTAAATCTCCTTAAACACCTCAATCACTCATAATTTAGGATGAGTCATTCCTACAGATTGTTCAACTAATCCATTACATGATTTCTAATTGCGAATGTAATACATGCAATTGCACCCCCCAAAATTAAGCAACAGTGATGTATTTACCTTAAAAAATGAAATCCGCCTACCAGACACTCTTAGCCTGCGGAACAGAAGTAACTAATATTTTTGTATGTGTCCTTCCTGACCTGTTCCTAAGCACATGTAAACGTGTGTGTGTGGTTGTTTCTTATGTTAAAGTACATCAGATTGCACATATCATTATACAACTATTTTGCAACTCATATAAAGACTTCTATTTCATTAAAAGACTTATTCTTTCAAGTGATGTCATAGTATTTCATGGTATACACAGTCTGTAACTTGCTAAAACAGTTCACTGCATTAGGGAACATGTTTTAATCAACTCATCATATCATTTTCTGTCTTATTTTACTCTCAAAGGGGAACTTTAAAGTTCAGAAAATCTCTTACTATTAGAGTGTTCCTTCTCCCCACTTCCACATACTGGCTACAGTGGGAAATCCAATGTGGTTTAGTGAAAGGATCTTGGGCTTTAAAGAAATTCAAAGAGAGATCTCGAGTCAAATACTTTACTCCCATTATGATCTCAAGCAAGTAAAATCGGATTAAATACTATCAACCATATCTCGTGGTTATGAGAATTAAATGAGATAATGCATATAAAATGTCGGGCACAAGGAAAGCATTCCTCAAATGTTAATTCTTTACCCTTAGGAGCCAGACACCATGAAAGGGGTTTCAAGTTACAAGTAAATACTGGATTGCTTATCTCAGTAACTTTAACTGGACAAAGTCATAAAACAAATGGAAAAGTATACCCTTTAATGCTATGCAATACCTAATCTTAGAGTTCTTGAGAAATATCCATTACTCTGTCCCAATTATTCCCTCTTTTTTCAACTGAAGGAACAGCTATAAAATAGAGAAACTGAGAGTCAGCTAAATCCTCCTTCAAAGAAAATAAATAAAGCACACAGAAGAGAATCTATCTAGTTAAAAATCTTCAACGGATGACCATGGTCCATGTCTAGGCCACATAATCCCAGTTTTAACAATTAATGCCTGATCCTGTTTTTTATATCTAAGTTAATTTCCTAATCTTGTTAGAACTTTCATTTAGTTCAATAGTGATGGAAATTGATGTTTAAAATTAAGACTTAAGATTAGATTATTATATCACTTCACAGTATTCACATTTTAAGACTCATTATTATACATGGGAAGAAGTGTTATTTGCTAGCCACCATCGTTTCTTGGGTGGTATGATGATATTTCATCCTGGACCAATTTATAAACTGGGTTTAATTATGCACGAGTGTGTACACACAATTATATCTTGTTAAGCATTTTTTTTGCTAAGTTTTTGATAAACAGCCAATCGTGGCATGTCATCAAAGCCTGAGAAGACTAAATAAGAAGACTGTTTAACAGGAATTTAAATATATTCGTGTTTGAAAGAATCATTAGAATGTTTTCCTTAGTCTTGATGCATTTGGTAGTTCTTCAGAAAATCTATCGTCAACACTTGTATGTAATGTTTATTCCAAATTGTTGCAAATATATATATATTTTGAAGTTTGTTTAGTGAGGGTCAGTGAATGTAATGAAGTGCCAAAAATTCCACTTGACTCACGTACTCTACAGTCAACAGAAAAGCACTACATTTTTGCAGAGCTCTGAGTTAAAAGCACTCCTCAAAGCAGATAGGCTAACAACTGGGAAAACTTAATGCAGCACAGTTGGACTAGAAGGTGGATGTAAATCCTATTCACAAAAGCCAGAATTTTTAAAGGACTGTGATTATATTAAGCATAAGGTTGCATAATGGCTGCACAGGCTGACTAATCTCAGAGTCCAGAGTCTTCATTCTTAATCAAACTCAAGGTCAAGTTCTATGCTTCTGCTATCATAGCTTAAGACCAGGAATTCGGAATAAGCTATCATCCAAGATGCTGTCAGCCAGAAACCCTTATTAATAGCCATTTTCACAAATTGACATTACAGTGATAGGCCCTGGAAGGTCCTCTGGTACCTTCTGAATCATCATATAAATGGCAAAACTGTCTCCATAATATACAAGTGTCAAATCCATTTTCCTATAGCCTGCTTCTTTGGAAAGGCAGAGAGGCAGAGTGAAGATGAAGCCAATGGGAGGGAGGACCTAGAAAGATGGTTTACTTGCTGATGGGTAGTAGTTGGTGGTTGAGAGTCAGTAAAGAAGTTAAATAAGAACTAGGGAATCATTAACCTTTTATGAACAAGAAAATTGCATGATGTGCTCAGTGTTTATGTAAGAGTCATCTGAAAGCAGAGTACAGGATGAAAGAGATAGAAAGAGGAGAGAACCCAGGAGGCGCCAGGGGAGTTGCAATTGGATTGGAGTGATAGATGTCAAAAGGAAAGAAATGGCCAAATTCTTGAGATTTTTCAAAGAAAAAGTCTACACAATTTTCATTTGTCTCATTTCTGTGTCTCCCATATCCAGGCAGCCATAGAGGTTTGTCTGAGATTTCAGTGATGACTTCTTGTGAAAATCGTCCCCCTGATAGCATTCTTTTTACGAAAGGAGGTATTATTTAGAATGGCATCCTTTTCTCTACTTTCCAAAAGCAGACATGAGAAAGAAGATGAGGTTATAGAAAACAAATGAAATAGAGTGAATCCCATTTTGGCAGGTGTATGTTAATTAAGCCCTTTATATGCTGCCCGTTGGGATGTACAGCCAGCATATCGGAAAACCCATAAAGGTAATATATCTCAAGAATGCAGACCTTTCAAAGTTTCATAACTTTAAAAGCAATCATAAAGAGTAAAAAAGTTTATGCAGGTAAAATTGTCTGTGACAGCACTGTTTGCAATGGTGAAACTTTAGAAACAATGTAAGCGTTCAGTGATGGGGAAGGTTATACAGAATAGGATATATCATATTGGCTTAGTAAAATGTAGTTCATGTTTTTCTTTCTGCTTTCACTTGCACAAATGCTGTGTTAAATGTTAAATAAAATCAGAGATACAGTCTTTTGCATACAAAGAGAGCATAGTTATAAATATGCGAAAAAAAAGTTGTGAATGTAGAAAAGACTATATTTACTAAAATGTTAATATTTTTCTCTGAGTTGTTGGATTGTGAAAGTTTGGCTCCTATATTCCTTTTTCTCCCCTAACAATGGTATAGGAGGAAACACTGAGGTTAAGGGGACGAAGAAATCAGGATTTGGAGTTAGGCTGACCTAAATGCAAGTCTTGGCTCTGCTGCTTACTGAAGGTGTAACCTTGGCCAAGTTATTCAACTCCAAGCTTCCATTTTGTCATCTGTCTAAGGGAGATTGTAATAGAACTTATTTCTGTAGTGAGAAGTAAATGAACAATGATTTCAAAGAGTTGTGCATAGTGCTTAGCACATAAGTACTAAATAAACATTTTATATCAATGTATTATTTCTACATGTATTACTATATTGCACATATTACAGTGTTTTTATAATGAGGGAAATATAAAATAATTATTTATGAAATAAATATAGAAAGAATTACCAAGGCAGTACAGGCTAAATTACTGCTAAACTTCCTGGCTTCCACAAAATTCTTTATCCCACCTCAGGATCTTTTTCTAAAACTTGAGTTTCCTCAGTGGCCTGACTCAACGAGTTTCTCAGAGCCCCAGAAAGACTATTTCACATGTTTGACAAGCTGCATCACACCCCCATCCTCATACCCAATCAC